AAAATTTAGATTTTGAGCATTTAAATATTAATCGTAAGATATGAACTATTTACTACTAAAATATAAGTTTCATCATAAAAACAGGAATTAGATGTCAATCATAAGACAATTTACTAGTTTAAACGTTACGTTTGTTTTTCGTCTTTTTTTAGATCAATTTGGATATTATTATCGACTTCTTACAGAAGGCAAATACATAGTTACCGCCTCAGCTGACGGTTTTATACCATCTATGGCTTGTGTTGATGTACAACACACACCGTCTATAAATGCACCATTTGTTGAAGCACAGCAAGTAAATTTCCTACTATTACCAACAAACTTCAAAAGATATAATGAATTAAACAGTATTACAATTCCACCCGTTTCCAAGCAATTTCACGTCAGCGGTTATCTACATGATAAATTATGCTTAAAACAGTATAATGAAATTATGAATGTAAGCTTTATTATGGTGATTGCTCTTAGAATTTTAATTTTATTATGTGATGATACCAATTAACTAGCATTTGTTACTTGTCAGTGATGAGTACCATTGCTAAAACTAGTGAGAATACCCACGACTTCAAAAAATAAGAAAACCATAGTCAATGGGATATTTTGGAACAACTGACACCAATCTTATTACTTTAACCATGCGCTGGTCCATCGATGAGACTAAGTTTACAAATTAGGCCTCGTGCTTAACTGTATCATCTCAAATAATGACAACTTTTTGTCGGAAACATTTTGTTCACTTAGCATAGATTCTCTCTTAATAAAATGGAAAGCATGTGACGTCCGGAAGCTACTTGGAAATCAGATGAGGTGAGTACTTATCGACTTACATCTGCAAATCACAGCTTACTGGTATAACTACATATACTCCCTAAGGAGACTGATGTCCGCCAAGACTATAATTTAATTGCAGCATTGCTGAGAAAGTACATAGCGAACAAGTGTTTGATAACTGATAATTTTTCTGAACGTTGCTTCTAAACATGTAATAGTGTAGAATGAAACATATTGTGGAGCAAAAAATAACTTGGACTTTCTCTTGCCATCCGCCTTAGACAGATTATTGCTTCATTTCGGTTGAACAATATTAACAGAAAAAATTAAAGCGACGACTGGTATCTACTTTGGTGAAGTATATCATTACTTAACTCATTTGGCGGTAATATCTACTAAGAGGAGTAAGTTGATGACAAATCTCACCGACTCGAATATCAACTAAAGAACCAATTAAATTAAGTAAGCAAATGATATCTGTTCTCTTGTAGTTCGAAGCTCCTCAAAATTGCACACCTATGACATGCTATGCATCGGGGCCTAAGTCACGCGTAAAATGTTAGGCTGAGAAATGACTGTGGTCGAGGATGTGTACATAGCTCAGTAGTTTTGCGACGTTCGTCTTGAGGTTGGTTTTGTTTCGTATGTTGACGAGTCCTAGACGGCTAAATAGTTGCTTCCAAACTTCTTTTGGTTCTCCGAAGTTATTCCGTGACGGAAATTACTATATACAGGAATGCTGCTGTTCAGTCATATATATGTTGACTAAACACTTAAACATTATGCAGAGTTCGTTGCCACTGCCAAAATGCAGAAAGATTAACCAAGCTGAGACAATTAAATTCACCATTACTACAATATCAACACTTCCATTTATTCTTGTCATACATGATTACACTTGGATATTTCATTTATGCACATACGATTCAAGCAAATAATTTCGCTAACAGTTTTCTGATGCATGATGCTGGACTTGTATGATTATAGCTAGCCAGACGGGAAGTGACTTATCGGAGATAAGATAAAAAGACTTGCTTCCAATTCTGCTACAATTTTTGTACTGTTAAGCCGGTCTTTTGTGACAAATAATATCAAAGGGCTTTTCTACAAACGCGGTGAGAATACCAATTGCAGTGGATTTTACCTAATGTGGATTAGATTACAATCTATGGTGAGGTAGTCCCTTCTATCAAATTATATATTACAAAAGCGATTATCATCTTTCTCTAAAATAAGCAACCAGTGTAATCCAGCAAGTCGATCTTACCACAGTTAGTGATTTATGTAAAATTTGATTCACTTAATTAGAAAATGAAATAACTATTCAATTATAAGTGAGATATGTGGCTTTCCTATTATAGCTATTTCACATATACTCCTATCATTTTTCTCTGTTTATAGATGATACCACAAAACACATGGGTCGACGAAGACAGTTTAGCTTGAGATTACTCATACCTTACGGCCATATCAATTTTAGAAAATACAGAGAATATATCAAATTATAATCATAGATTAAATGTTCTATTAAATATAATTGTCCAATACTCATCTTGATTAAAAAGTTATGACCAGTTGTAGTACGTATATAAAATAACAAATTGAAGTCATAATCCTTAATACTAACACGTCCGTAACAGGACGCAAGTTTATTAGCTAAACATACGAAAAACCTAAAACAATTGAACGATAGTACGAAGCTGACAGAGCAAGACTTTTTAAACTGTATTTAAGGTTACAGCCATCAGAATATTTAGATCACTTCTACGACGAATATGACATAAACTTTCGTCCGTGGTAACCTACACGGTTACATTTTTTGGATAAATCGGTACTTAATGACTATTTTACTTATGGGAATAACATCAGAAAATCAACTGAACAACCCTTAATAGTGATTGAGAATGTTATTGAGATGAGAGCCCACTGAATTTAAACGAGATAAACAAAAAAGGACAAACAAGAGTCGCAAAACAAATGATCCGACTCCTAATACAACATACAAATACCAGGTCAAAAAAACTCACGTCCGACTAGATAGAAAAGTGAAATTAGTAAGAATATCAGCAATTTCAATATCACTTCTACTTCTGAAGTGGCGAATAAAATATATATTATGAATCTGTATACAGCTTGACAGATAGCCATAAGTTCTCTCGAAGATTATTTGTACATATGAACCTCACGTACAAACACTTTCATTGGGACAGTCCGAGTACTGGGAAATTAACCGGATTGATGTAACACGGTAGAAGGATAAAGCTTTAGCCTGAATTATCACTTTCTTAGTGTTTGACTGTTGGAATTCGTTGCCGAACAAGCACTGATCACATCAGCAAATACATTTCGAGAGTGAAAAATTTGTTAAGTGGAAACAATAATGCAAATGAGCAGCAGCAACCATGATAACAACTAATGCATTGATTTCATTCGAGGATGGCCATCGTAAGAAACTATGACTTACAAGTAAACCTGCGACTTCAGAACGACAGCTAAGTGGAATGCGGTCAGAGCCCCGTGGCTTTCCTCAGGAAGGAACTAGATAGCGTATGAGGGTACATTCGGTATTGAGACCAACATAAGTTAAATGAGTGTCAGATTTAGTTATCAATGGAGCGCTCATCACTTTAGACTGTTCCCATGGAGTGGCAAGGACGTGATGGCCTATTAATCTCCATAAAGTGACAAACGAAGGTACGACCTATGGCACATCTGTCTAGTGCGTCACTTAGCAGTTTATTAGCTTATACATGCAACCAAGATCAACATCCTTGTAATTTATTTGAACACATAAATATTGGTACAGAGGGGCATAAAATATATATTTACCACAGAAATCACTTAATATGTATGTGAGATATGATACAGTCCGAACCAAAGGAAGAGGCTTTCTTGAGGGCCCACACTTGTAGCTTAGGACCTAAAAGACCTGACCCACAAGGCAGTGGAGCAACCTCAAGATATGCAGTCCCATAGTAGTCGGTGACTAACCACTGGTCCACATGTTATTTGTTTCTTGAGAATTCTGTAGCCACTACGTTGGAAGTCGAGCTTTCTAACTTCCCTAGGTAGAACTTCTAAACCCAACAACCCGGTTGAGGGGCCGGACATACGCTTTTTATCCGCTCAATTTTGCAAACACCCCACCACGAGAAGGCAATGAGGTTTATCCTGGTAGTAGCTGTATACGAGAGCATTTGGAGAGGGAATACTCCAACCTTTAGCCGTATCAGAGCACTTGGAGACTTTCTTGACTGATGAGATCTAGATATCTTGATAATGCCAGCAGTATTTGCGTAACATATAAACGATTATATTACTAGCGATCTAACGCACTATCAACGGACAGGACTAATCACTCGAGCAACGAAAAAGGAACTAATACACAAGTATTTTGCATTACATACAAATAGAAGGACAAGTACGAAGCGTCACTTCATTCACAGAATTTATGAAGAAACATTCACTACTAGGCAGATGTTTACGGTTGGTTTGATTTGACAATTACCTCAACTTGACTGCATAAGATCACTTACTGTACCTCCCGAGCGAGAGCCGTGTGAAAAACATCAGTAGTAAGACAATGACGCTCGCGCACTTACGAGGATTGATAATGGATACCACATTTTCCTTTGACGCTACGGTGTTTATCTACAGAGTAATTTGGTTTCGACACAAATGCAATCTATTCAAGAACAAATTGAGGCGACAACATAGTGTCTTCACGTGTTGCAACTGGTAAACACTTCAAGGATAATCAAATATATGATTATTGATTAGGGAAATTTGCCAACCACCATTCAACTTATAGCTCGAATCCTCAGTAAAATGAATGGTGACACGATGATTACTCGCTTAAACTTACAACTGGACGAAAACAATCACCCAGTATTTCGCTGAATAACTTGTGCCGAACCAGTGATAACTGCGCTGGTACTACACTGTTTAAAAAAGTTGACAAATGTACGTAGAAGTCAGCTAAAGATTTCGATGGTTTCATAAATATAACAGATTCCCACCAGCTACGTAACCATATTGATTGTATTCCGACCTACGGTTAATTCTAAACTTACTACTCGCGTCAAACTGCAACTACAGTTCCTGAGCTTGAAATCACAGTTGGAGTGTTCGCTACATGTAACACTGCGAAGACTTGCAAAATGATAATCATTTAATTCGCCCGTGCATTAACTGAGAAGACGCTTTGTATACCAACCTGTATTTATTGATCACTCATTTTCAGTGGATCTCAAGCCAGCGTTGGCGTTCACAACTCTTATGCTAAGTTGTTTGGCACGCTCAACAATTTTGACACGATTTTTTCTTGCCACAGTATGTGCGATAACTGCAGCATGAGTGCGATGTTGCATGAGTAATACCTCCAGCTCCTTAAAAATCGGGTTAGAAGATTAGAGGCTCACCTTAACATTGCGGATCAAAACGTGCTTGAAGCCATCAGGGTGGATATGACGAGTTCGTTTGGCACTTCCATAACCAATTTTGGGCATACGAACCTGCCCCTTGAATCTCCGTCGAACTCTGTTATCTATACCTCTTGGTTTCCTCCATTTGTCCCCGAGTCGTTTGTACAGATCACTGTGGTGACGATGCCATTTCTTTGGGTGCTTCTTGATTATCCTTGGGTGATGTAAAGGTCGGATGGCCATATTTAATAACAGCTATCGGGACAGACACCTAACCGCGTGAGTATGCCGGACTTCGAAAAAACCCGCCTAATGACTTGCTAAAAGTATCACAAACTTCTAAATTCAATGTTGAAAAGTAATGTCTCATAAATTCAAACACTAATTTTACTACATCAAAAAGTCACTAATCGAAAATTTCCTACATGCCTTTGAACAGATCGTAAGTTGCATTTACAGATGTAATATTACTGCTTATCAATATAACTCTCTAAGAGGTTTGGTGCTTGAAATGAGGTGGGATTCTGTAACATTTTATAGTTAAGTTTGAGGTTGAAAAAAGAAGCGTGAGCCTTCACTACGGCAGAATTCAATAGGCAATGTTTAGTCGCTTTTTTATTGTTGAAGACTTCTTTCTCTACTTAATGTAATAAATTCTCGATAGTTTATTTTTAATGGAATGTGCAAACTATTTATTTATTATGAAATTATGAAATAATTATAAGGTTTGGGTAACCTGCATAGGATTAAGATAGACTGGTCAAAATCCATAGTGAAGATTAACAGAAGAATCACCCATATCATTATAAATTAAATTCTGCTTCACATTCATTCCAAAAGTGAGTGACTATCTGAATTCATTAGCTAAATGGGTAGCTCACAGACATTTGAAGTAGAAAACACTTGGTTAGGATCTCTAAGCTACTGTCTGTCCAACATTGTCTGTGAAAGTAAATTTGTGATATAACTGTATAATGTTTTTATTGGGGTAACCTGAATTCTTTAGTTCTCTGTATACAATTATCAAATGGACTTCTAATAACATCTAACCCAGCAAGAGCGACTCCAGACGGCAAAGTTTGTATTTATTACCAATAGCTTCTCACAACCATTTGTCGTCCACAAAGATAAGGGCGTACAAAGTTTTTGTTTCAAGGAGGTCCTTAATGAATATAAGTCGTAGCGTTAAATAAATCCTCAAAATATATAGTTCTGTAAATCCTCGACGTTTGGTGCTTACCGCACTATTTTTACTGGACTCACCTAGCTGAATGTGCTCAGTGACGCATGCATACCAGATCAAAAATATGTACGCCGTGCCATGCATCATTTGCAACCGTTGGCGAACTTCGAAACTCCTCACTTCTGACTTATGATTTGACTGAGCTGGCATACTTAGATTAGGAAGGTGTTACTGGTAAAGACGTCAATATTAGAATACTTTTCGCATCTTTAAAGTAATAACACTGCGTCAGCGTAGCGTTCCTGTTCTGTGAAGTTAAATTTGAGGTAACAGTTTACCCACAGTCAATCTAACAGTCTCATTGGTAACAGCAATCCAAGTTTTGACTAAGTCAGTACACTGACATACCAATCTCATTCCAAGCCATTGCAGCAAGTTCCCTGGTTCTTGAATATGTATGGGCCACATTGAGGAAGCTTCTTCGTAACTGGAAGGTTTACCGGAGATAGCAACGTTGTTTTCAATCAACGAAATTGTTCCTTCCTTAACGAGACAAATGCATTTTTCGGTTCACCCAAGTTCATTGGATCCATAAATTGCGGATTTTAGTGAAATATGGCAATGTTATTAAGAGAGTTTGGAATAAAAGTTAACAAGTACCATGTCGTAGTTCTAAATAACTATGTAAGAATTCAGTTCACAGTATACACATTATAATTATTCCGGGGTTTAAATTATCAGACGGGGATTACCACTTATGAAGGTGACAGGCATTTCCTCCCCTAAAAGTAATCCTTCATGTTATGACCAAGTGTTTCCATTTTCCTTCGCTTCTCATCTCCAAGTATTCAAAGGTCATTGTACATTTTCTCGTTTATTGTATGTTCGGCTTCAAAAAGTGTGTGGTTTGAAACAACTGAAACTACAAATTACGACGCTGGTTGGTCCTTCAGTGCTTGTTTAAGGTTGCCATGTAGCCTTCCTTACAGGCCACGGTTTGCTATATGTGATTTCAGTGTCCAAGTACCGTTTAGTCTATGATCTTCGAGGCATCGACAGAGCTTACTCCTACGAATTCTGAGATCAGTTCTAGTCCAAGAGTTATAATTTTCTTTGTGATTTCCCTGAATACAATCATCATAGTCCATCCAAGTTGTTGCGAACGCGAAGCAGGATTCATTATTCGGCTTACTGCTATTCACTCAAAGCTTCTCTGCTCTCCAGTAGACCGGCCTCGGACAATGGTGCTGTGAATATAATTAGGATGTTTCCAACACCATCAGGTATTTTTTCCCCGATTTTCGATGTAGTTGTTACCATTTTGTTACTTCCTACATCTGTTCACCAACATACCTTTTAATCACCTGTGATCAAGATGTACCGAGGACCTGGGAAAATGTTAGACAAATTCATCAAATGTTACGGCCAGTGACTGAGTAGAGTTGTAGTTACTGTGTTTATAGTTCCGACTCCCACTTTACTAGCTGTATTAACAAGTACATGTGTCTTCGTCGTAAAAGAAGTCTCACGTCACACTTTCACTGGTTTGGTTCTTCTAACGATCCATAAACTCTTGTCGGAAGCACAAATATGGGTACCTTATTATAAATCCATAGCAATGCTTGAATACTACAGTGCCGCAACAGGGCTGACTTATCTGCTTCAAGAAGTTGTAATGGAAAGCTAGACCACTCTATCTGGCGGGTAAAGAGCACGCAAATACAATCCACACCACTGTGTTATTTAAACCAAGCACTCAGTTTTTGTAAATGCCTGGTTTTTAGGTGTTATTTTCTTATATCCTTTCGCCGCATACCAGTGCTTTCAGTGGTGTAAATCTGCATCAGTTTGTAGTTATCGTTGCTTACCGAAATATTTTATTACAGCGTTCCGTCTGTGTAACTACCTCAGTACATTCTAACCACAGGTGATTCTTTTAGTCTCATTTAGATGTATTTGTTCAAATTTAGGTATCTCGAGCTTCGAATCCTCTCCTAAATATTACTTTGACTAATTGCCATTGTGGTTGTGGTATAAGATTGACGGCGAACCCAGTGCTGCGCAAATATCCGGTTCATTGATTTAAAATTCCGATAAGCTCACCATAAAACGAAATGATAAGATACACTCTTCCGTTAATTGGAACTATTGAAAATAGAGCATTATATGAAGTATATATGGTTCTGCTGCACAATTTTGAAGCGATAATTTTTCGTGGTCGTGGACATACGTAAAATCGAATTTTGTTTTTTATCAACCTGGTTGGTTTTCTGTTGTCGAAGGATTTTCTTTTCATCATATATTCGCAATACTGACCCTCGTTTTCATACTTCGTGTTTAATAATATACCAGTAAAATCTAAGCTCGAAGTGATTCCAATCAGTTAAAAACTGATTTGCCTTAAAGTCAAACATCTTCAAATATTTGGAAGGAATTGACTAAATAATTTAAACTTATTCTGTTCTGTAAAATTCCACATAATGAATCTGTAACGGTGCAGTACTTAAAGATTTGCCCCAAAAAGAAAATATGATCGTCTAAGGAAAAACTTTGGGTATTAGTAGAAAGAACCTCAAATCAATTGAAGGCAATCCTTATATGACCTATACTAGTATTTGCAAAAAATTGCTAAAATGCTCCCTGAAAAGTAAAACTATCATCACTAAGGTCTTCTGCAAACGGCTATATCTATCAATTTGACATTACTGTGCTCTCAGTACAGCTTGTCTAAGTTCAGTTGCATTTGATCATGAGCCAAATACCACCTTAACTTTAGGCTAAATAAACGATCAGTAGCCTGTGGCTAAATCACTGAATAAACAAACGCTATTCCATACTCTAATAGACGCTGTAGCTAATATTATTTATATCCCAGTTCCTATGGCACATTAATTTTGTTGGTATATGCTGCATAACTTCTTTTAGCATAGATCGAAATTGAAAGATATTACAGAGATTACGCGCATGTACTTCATAATTTCTCGCACAGTTACTGGTGGTCTTGAGTTTATAAGGTCTGAATTTGACTCACTCAATAACTAAACATGAAGGTATGAGGTTCAGTTTGCTCGAGTGGGGCACATGAAACGAAGAGTAACAATTTGTTAGAAAATTAGCAGCCACAAACCAGTGAGAAATCTTTTTCGTCCATTCCCTATAAATTTACTGAGTTCCACGAAAATTTTAATAAATCATTGTTGGTTTATTCTCGTTATTTGTTGTTAAATTTGTAATACTACATGCTGAAATTATTCTACCATTAGTCTGTGGTAAGCAATTGTCTACGTTTATGTTCGCCTACATACTTTTACTTGTATGAAAACTCATAGTTTATCTTAGTGTATTATGCAATACCACATCGATGTATTAACTACTGTCCATATGTTTCAGTAATCTAGCATTCTTGCACCATGTTGCTAAGTTGTGTTCCTTGACATAGTGCAGAACATGGAGATTATAGTAGGACAATAAGTTTAAATAAATCTTCTCCGCAACAGATTCTAACGTCAGAAATTGGGGAATAATTAAGTTACCGACCACCAAGCACTAGGCATTATTTTTTCATGTACCGAAATAAATGGTCGCTCTGGTTGTCAGAAGGAGCATCGGCCTCGTAACTTCCGAAACAATTCGGCTTTCATCATGAGGCGTCATAGTTCTTCTAAATGAAGACCTTCTGACTCCTAGGGCAGTGTTTAGAAGATTTGAATTATTTTTTCTGGTTAGCGTTTTTTAGCGAGTTAGTTTTCCACGGGATGGGGACGATAACTCCATGCCCAACGCTCCTCCTTTATCCGGGCTTGGGACCGGCAGTAGCCCCCGGAGAGACTCCAGGCGGAATTGAACGATCTGGACTTCGCAGATGATCTGGCCCTTCTATCTCAAACGCAACAACAAATGCAGGAGAAAACTAACAGTGTGGCAGAAGCCGCAGCAGCAGTAGGTCCCAATATACACAAAGGGAAAAGCAAGATTCTCCGATACAACACAGAATCCACCAATCCAATCACAATTGACGGAGAAGATTTGGAAGATGTAAAAACCTTTACATATTTGGGCA